TGCAATCTCTACCCGATCCTTTACAAATAATGAATATTGATTACAGCACTGCTTTCAAGTGCACGCTCCAGTGGGACGGTAAAATGTGAAAACAGCCCTAGTTAGTATAATTACCCTCCAAATAGAATCATCCTTAGTCATATTTCAAGAAATACGATTAACAAATTCACAATTTTACTTCCTGTTGATAATTTCTAGGAGTAGAAAGGTACTATTCAACGCTAAATCTTCATAAAATCGAGAACGTTGTCATAGTTACGTAAAACCTCGGCTACAATCCTCTACCGTATACCAGAGCTTTTCTTCGAACAGTGTGGGACACTTGTCTGGATGACCTTGTTACAAGACTTTGCGTGACTAGAAGTAACGTATAGAATGGCTAAACCGCTGTGAATCTACCCATTGGCGTTCTTAACGGCTAATCGGCTTAATGGCCAATGGCAAAACTGAGTACGCAAACAATAACCTTTGCACTATGGGAAAACGCTCATCGCCTTATTATGAAGTTCAGTCCTATTAGCAGTGATGCATTTGACGAGATTTGTCAAAATATTCTTGATGGATGAGAACAGCACGCGCCAATAAGCCAAACAAATTTTCATAAGAATCCAAACTGATAATTCAAAGAATCGGTCCTTTCTTTTTAAAAACACACTTCCAAGAAAACCCTAAGAGAAGAACTCACATGGAACGGATCGTTGTCTTGCTGATTGTTCGTGACTTTCACTCGATCGAATGATACCAACTTGCTCATCCAAGCTCGCCCGGTGTCCACGGCACCGTCATGATGAGGAATATGCGAAATGGTGTTCGCGCTTCTCCCCTGCCGTTTGTAGACCAGTCACCTGCATTGAATTATACCTGGAGATAGAATATCTTTACCTAGAATACACTGCGTCTCCTAATGATACAGCCACCTAGAAATTGTTCAAAATCTCGAATTCCACAAAGTTTCTGGAAAAATGTCCAACAGGAAAACTGTGTCAAATTTGATCGCAAATTCGAAAATCAACACAAAATTCCAGGTTGGAAAATGCGAAAATTTTTCTTTGCTAATTTTTCACGAAGGATCGCTTTTCCCATGTCTCCAAATGATACAGCCACCCCGTGTTTTTTCGTTGTATTTCATTTTTGCTTGATGAAACTTCAATTTTTTCTAGGTCATCACGAAAGGAAAGCAGTTGTTGGATTTTGAAAAAGGGCAAATGGTCGCAAAAAAAGAAAGAGTAAGCGCCAGTGGTCACATTGCGCGGAAGTTATCGAAGCTACGAAATGATAAACAATTTCTTCTTGCATGCCGTAGGAAATAAAGCTGAAAAGGGCTCTGAAAGCTCCTCGCTTTTTGATCAAGATTAATGCGGAATTATGAAAATAACATCCAATTTCATCAAGCCGTGCTCGTAATTAGAGTCCTCTTTCAAACTTAATCTTTACTGGATAGTGCTTGGTAAGTAGTGAAGAACTTCCAAGTTCGCTCTCGAGCGGAAAACGAAATGCAGTGTTTATGGAAAGAAACCTTGACAAAAACCAGGACATTTTTGCGAGGAAAGAGCTAGCCAAGCCTAAGGTTGCTTGGCTGGCTGT